TGAGGATATGAACGCAAGTTACGGAACACACAAAACTGCATGTTAAACATTTCCCATAAAGAAAACGCATAACGTGGTTTATTGCCTCAAGACAGTGATAATAAATTAAATTCGGCATCTAGTTAATAAAATATATTACTGTATATTATTATGTATATATATAAAATATATTACTGTATATTATTATGTCATCTTAAGCAGATGAGCCCAGAATATGAGCCCACAACCCACAAAGTTTGACCAAACCATTTTTTCTGCCATAGAAAACCAAGCGCGGTAGTTTTGGGTTTGATATTCGCTGCATATTCGCCTGGGCTGCTTCAGGGACCGTCTGCAAATTTACCTCACAGTACAAAAAGAAGTCCAATAATTTATTCAAATTAATGTTTACAGTAAATTAATAATTTACTCAAACTGACTAAATATATATTGCCAAAAACTCGCCTTAGACAATACTTTCCCTAAGTATGTACAATACACTTTGTGTTTTGTTGCACTTTCAGAAAAAATTTACAGTAATTCACCAAAATGGGTTTTTTCGTGTTCCAAATGTTGTATGTTACTAGTTACCAGACTGACTTGCTACAGTTGAAATTTTGCCAATATCTTCCTCACTGTGTATACAGTATATAATTATTCTTAAGAAATTACTGTAATTCACGAAGTTTTTTTTTTAATGTTCCAAAGGTTGTAGTACATTCCTAGTGACTAGACTGACTTACTATAGGTGACATTTTGCTAATACCTCCCTTACTGTACATAAAGTACATCAATATTTCATACTACAACCACTGGAACATGAAAAATCCCTTTTGGGGTATTACAGGTTTTTTTTTTTTTTTAATAATTGTGTAGATACAGTAAGGCAGATATTGGCAAAAATTCCACATGAAGTCAGTCTTGTAACTAGCAACGTACTACAACTAGAGGTCTGCAAGCCCGTCGGGTCCCTACTACTACCTCTTTCATTTTTTGACTGTTAAGAAATACAATGAATTGTTAACAGCCAGGCCGAACATAAAACACAACATAGACAAAAATTAAGAAAAAAAAAAAACACAGAACAGTAGTCCTCCCAGAATACATATAAAACAGCCAGACTGCTGAGGTTTCTTTCTGGCAACATTCAGTATGGACAGGCATTCAGGTTTCTTCTACATATGCAGCTTGAGGTCAAGTAAATGTCAAATGGAACCTGTTATTGAATCTTCCAAAGCACAAATCCACTGCAGTTCTCCACACAGGTTCAACAGTTGAGGTCCAAAATACAAACTGGCTGGCATTCCCAGCCAACATTTCAGGTGTACACACTACTGTATGAAATATTGTTATATTGATTATATTATAAATATTATACATCGCCTACGCAATACGCAACGCATATACGCACAAATTAGCATACAGGTGACAGTTGACCATGCAGAGCATCAGGGAGAAGTTGGAGCGTGGGGAGTTACTAGTTCCCAGTGCTTCGGGAAAATCTGCATTTTGGAAGAGTTTTGATTTGATTACCACGGCAAACAGTGAGTCAATTGGTCTTGTGCAGTGTAGAATCTAAAAATATCTTTGCACATGACAGCAAAAAACGCACGCAATAGGCTAAAGCGTGTCGCAAAGCCCCAGCAAAAGTAACCATGAATGTGTCGGGGAGAAATAGTAAGGAGATATTTGAATTGTTTATTATGATATATTTGATATATGTTTATTACGTGATATATTACTCTTACCTTTATGAGCAATAATTACGGCATATTTTAAGTTGTTTCCAATGCAAGTGATCGCGCCGGCTCCTCCATGTCCTGTAAAAAGTGCTTTAGCTCTCCGCACAAACGATTAGATATGCGTCTAATAGCGCACATTTATATAGGTTAAACATTTAAACTTACATTGTGGTATGCTTGAACTGAATTTTATATCTATAGATTTTATTTTAGGCAAGTCATGATGATTTGAGAAGGCTAAATTGATCAAACATAGGCTATGATCAACTCACTGTCTACCGCTGGCCGCTTGGTCGTTATTTTAAAAAACAAAAACTCACATTTAACGAAAAAAAAAAATGCTCCAAACATTTTTCTAAATTAACTTAATAAAAAA